GGAGGGGGGGAGGGGAGGAAGGGGAGGAAGGGGAAGAAGGAAGAAAGGGAGGGAAGGAAGGAGGAAAGGGAGGGAAGGAAGGAAGGAAGGAAGGAAGGAAGGAGGAAAGGAGGGAAGGAAAGGAAGGAGGAAAGGAGGGAAGGAAAGGAAGGAAGGAAAGGAAGGAAGGAAAGGAAGGAAAGAAAGAAGGAAAGGAAGGAAAGAAAGAAAGAAAGGAAGAAAGAGGAAAGAAAAGAAAGAAAGAAAGAAAGAAAGAAAGAAAGAAAGAGGAAAGGAAAGAAAGAAAGAAAGAAAGAAAGAGGAAAGGAAAGAGAGAAAGAAAGAAAGAAAGAAAAGAAAGAGGAAAGGAAAGAAAGAAAGAAAGAAAGAAAGAAAAAAAGAAAGAAAGAAGGAAAAAAGAGTGTTGCAAACTTGACTCAATAGTAGCAAGGTAGAAGCTGACCACACTTCATTTTTCAATTCGTGAAGCTGTGGAATGACGGAAAAAGGAGCAGACCAATCTTTGACAGCTGAAGGGAAGAGTTTGGGCACAGACATAGCCGGTGTGTTCTGGCACACTGTGTCATGCATGGTTTTCAGTGCCGACTTTCGCAGCCTGCTAAGTGCAGCCCGTCGTCGCCCAAGGGGACATATAGCTTTTTCTCCCTTTTTATCATATGTGCTGGTATCACTCTTGTAGAAAGGCGCCTCAGGATAGGTGTGATGGGGGGTCGCACCGACTCTGGTTCTTGACACCCACACAGGCTTGCCTGTGCTGGGGCACGGCCCCTCCGAACCGCAGAACTGCCCACCACCACAAGGCAAATCATCGCACCACTTGGTAATGTAAGTTTTAGTGTGAAGCTTGCTTGGCAAGATAATCATAGGCTGAATGAGACTGCCACCAGCGTCTATCTGCAATCCGACCTCTACAACAACCTGGGCTTTCAAAAAAAAAAAAAAAAAAAAAAAAGGTTTTGGTGTGAACACTGTGAAGCTTCCTGTCAATTGCGACTCCATCATTTTTGTCTTCAATTGAGTATTGAAGATTGGCAAAACAGTGACACTGGTATCAGAGCGGGGAACCAAACAGGATGTCAGCCAAGTGACTGGGTCCTCCTAGCGGCCAAGTGCCACATCAGCAATTACCTTCCTTCAAATTGCATCTATCTACTTTACGACGGACCTCGTTCGATATGGTCCATCAGAAGGGTTGAACCACCTGCACACCCATCTCAAATTGGCCGCAGGCCCCTTTCAAAGCCAGGTAATGCTTCGGAGGCCACCGATGGAATTTATCAACGGGGGGCCCACCGCGCCCGGCCCGGCCCGGCCCCGCCCAGCCCCGCTTTTTTTTGGTGGTGGCGACGAGTGTCGTTCTGCAAGCCTGGGTCCATGTACTGGTGGTTCAAACCATGGAGGACGAGAAGAGAAGTGGGGGACGTGAACCCCCCGGGTGAGGCAGTAGGAAAAAAAGAGGGGGAGTGTGTGTACATGCTCACGAGCGGCCGGTTATCCAATCATGACAAGAAGACGAGGGTCTCAAAGAAGAATCCATTCGTGCAATTTAAAAAAAAAAAAAAAAACAACAACAACAACAACAACAACAACAACAACAACACTGTGAAATGTTGACAAATGAGAAGGGTGAGCTTGCAGCGTTGGAGTCGAAGGGAATCAAGGAGGGGAGGAGAGGAAAGGGGAACAAAGAAGAGCAGAAGAAGAAACACATAGCGAACTCTCAAGTGGATTGCTGCGGAGCAGACCGCCGATGTGAGAGAGAGAGGAGATTGGTAGCCCTCTCCACGTTGCAATTTGCTCATGCCCGATGAGCTGGCCACTATGAAGGCCAAACTCCATGAGATAGATATGTTCAAGAACGGGATGACGTCAATTGCCAGTAAGCTGAACGCCGTCATGGCCACGATGCATGGTCAGCCCGGCCCAATTTCACCGCCTCTTTCCCCCGAGGAGACAAGGAGAGGAAGCAGAGGGGGAACGACATCCCAAACTGGAGGGGGTGCCGCCTATATTTAAAGGTTAAATAGATGAAGTTGTAGACCTCTGCTTGTGCGCTATCAAAAAACACGCATAATTACTACGAGCTCCTCAGGAATACCGGCGAGATTCATTTTGCGTTCTCCACATTGCTGGTTGCAGTGGGCAGAAAGTGAAGTTTCGCAGGCAGGTGGAGATATTGCTGAGTACAGTACGCTAAACGCACCACGTGGCTGGAACTCACACAGAACCTGATGAAGGGATATACGACGGTCACCCGTCAAGATAGACATGGGCCCACTACAATGAGCTGTCCGCACAGACTTTCTGTGGTGGTGTGCAGAATTTAATCCAACAACACGTTGACCAGGTCCTGCAGACAGCAGAGCTGGAAATTGGGGAAGACCTGATTAGTAATTACATACTCCTTTATGACGGTTCTTCCCAAGAAGATTGCGAGCCACCCGGGTTCCCAGCACAAGGAGCTGAAGACTTACCGCAGATGGCGGTGCAGACCTTAAAAATAAACTCTGCCTTGCGACCCGCTGAAGGACAACAGCGACCAGGAGGCCAATGTGAGGGACGGCAGCGAGTTCGCCTCTCTGTGCACGGGAGGAG